TCTGTAGGGTCCCTTCTCTGCAGCTCCCTGGACTTGGACCCAGTTACCTGCGTATTGATGGGCTGTTAATTGGCTTCTTTCGTTTTTTTTTTTTTTTCCTTACGACACCGGTATGATGCCGTAGCGCTCGGGTAGATGTTTTATTTCCGGAAGGCGAGGAGGAGGGAGACGGTGTGACACTTTCTCCTTTGAAGAGTTGAGTCGGTATCGGTATGGTATTCTGTACCGGTAGGTTGCGAGTGAGAAGGGGGGGGTCGGGGTCGGGGTACGAGTACTTGAGTACTAGTACACGTACCCTCAGAAGTAACACAGGTAACTTAACTTAACGGTCCTATTCTCCACCACACCATGATTCTATCCGTCATCCCTTTTCCAAGGAAAGCTTGAACTTCGGTTAAGCGACTGGATTATCCACAATATATCACATTCACTAAATCCCATGATCGGCAAACATCCCCCCCCCCCCCCACCACCCTCGCCCCCATCTTCTCTTAAAACCGGTGTTTTTTTTTTCTTTCATAATCAATAGAACTCGAGTACTACTTGCAGTACCGTAATAACAATAATAACAATAATAACAAAAAGAGTAAAACAAGCCCTGTATTTTTTTTTCTTCTTCTTCTCTCTCTCTATTCCTCCCCTCTCCCAAAAACCCCTGTTCAAGCCACAATCGGATCTAAGATCCGGCCCCAATTACGATACCGTAGTTGCTCGTCCTTCCGTCGTCCCTGAGGATCTGCAAAATCTCGTGCGGTACGAGTACAAAAGTCCAGTTTAGTAGTATCGCACCTGCCCCTTTTTCACGCTGGATACCTGTAATTTATGAGTACAGTACTTGGGTGGTATGGGTTGATTACTACTCGTACAGGTACCATCACTGCTGCCGGTATGGGTAGTCTAGTGTCTGGTATTAACCTTAATGCACCGTATGATACTAACACATTGGAGGAAGGAAGAAGAAAAAAACCGACCCGGTTGAGCTGAAGCGAGCACGGTATGATAACATCCCCCTCAAACGGGGATGAAAGTTTGCATCATACGGTATCATACGAGGTCATTGCGCCATGTGGCTTTCTCTTGCTTTTTTTTATTTATTTTACCTTTCGTCACTTTGGATGGACTGAGGGAGTTACAGTACAGCACAGTATCATACAGTAGTGTTATTGTGCGATAATACGGTACGTAGCAGTGATAGTCGCGGCGGAAGTTATGGTACTCGTATGGTAGTCCGTCCGTTCGCCCATCCCTCCATTTCCTACTTTTACTATGGTACTGTACTCGTACTGAATGATATATATCGTACCTTGGAAGGGAACAATGACAAAGACAAAAACCAGATCTCTAGAAAACCTCTACATACATACATTATATACAAGTACTAAGTAGCTTTTCCCGGCTACGGTACTGGTTTTTTTGCTCTCACGTCTTTTACCAATCATACAGCCTCTTTCTTTCTTTTTTTTCATACCACCCCCCCCCCCAAGTTTTAACCCAACTGCCCATTTCTCAATTTCCCAATACCCACTGCTCACTACCGTACCCACTACCGGTAGCGGTATGGTTACCGTACCGTTATCTTGTCACATTCGTCTACGAATTGGGGACAGAGGATATTTTCGCAGGGTACGGTACAGGAAATTTCGATTGCTGACCGTTTTTTACTCTGGTTCCTTCCCTTCTCACACCCACCCACCCCGTCTCAAATCTCCATGCGTGATACATCCCATCCAACGGTTTGAACATGCTAGATATGGTATGGTGCAGTACGGTACGGTTACCGACTACGGAATGATGTTAAATTTAAAACTTTATGGGCACGGGAAGCGAGTTCTGATTAGGAATGTTTAACGGGTGTTGTGATACAGTGACCGGTGTGAGGCTTGTCTATGATACCTAACTGTGCTGTACCGTGCTTGCTTGTCTGCCTGCCTGCCCGCCTGCCCGCCTGCTTGTGTGGGTGGTGGGGGGGTTGGAGGTTGGAGGTTGGGATTACCCTAGTTGCTTGTACCGTAGGCATTGTCTCAGTCGACTGGGATGTGGTGCCAGTACAAGTACTCGAGTACAGGTATTTGTGACGCTCGTTCTGGTATTCAGAGCAAGTCTCAACGGTATTGTGGAAAATTGATATCACGATTTGGGGTGCTCGTTTTTTTCCCTCTCTTGTTGGTTTCTGACGAGTATGATGCTAGCGCTTGACTTGGATTCGGGGCTCCCCCTCTTGAAAGGATGGATAGGATCCGGAAGGTTAGGCTCAGTGGCGAAGAGATGGAGAAGGTGAGTAGGAGAGAAAGGGTGATGCTTACTATGCGCCCTTGCCCTTTGAATGATTGATCGTGATGCGTGATGTACTGTACCGTACCGTGCAGTATTTATAGATGTGGACCCTAACTCTTATTCTTTTTTTCCTTTTTTCACCACCCTGATTATTATTATTATTTGTTCCGACATCCCGTTAGATGAAGGTTTCCGTCATCTTCCTCCGCCCGCATGAAGGAAGGAATGACACCGGTACGGTACTCTGCTCGGGCACCGTGCTATCGTGGACCTCCTACGGTATCACACCAAAGATTAGAAAAGACCGGTAAGCAAGCATGATAGAGTATCATACCGCAAGTAAGAAGGGAAGGCCCGAAGCCACAATCCACAATATGATATCGTGTGTCCCAAGTCAAAAGGGAAGAGTTACGTACGGCACGATAAATACTAACGTAGCCTACCCCAACTCACTGCAATCGGTCCGATAATAATACTATCATTCTTGCTGTTTTGTTTTTCTTCCCCTCTCCGGTGACTCCTCCTTGTCGTTCATCGGACGGTGGGGGGCGCAGGCGAAAAAGAAGAAGAAAAAAGCTATGAGATAATAGATCGTGGGATCGTACTTTCAATGTTTCTTCTTGCAGGAGGGGGGTCAAAAGAAAAGAGGAAGAAAAGAAAGAATTTCTTTTTTTTCTTCCCTACGATAGGGCCGGGAAGGAATGTGCGAGTGCCGTACGAGCACTGTACAGTACTGTGCGAGCCAAGTATGATGGTAATACCGGTAACTCCTCCTGTGAGCATGATAAGTACGTACTCGATCACGGGCGCAGGGCCGCAGTTGCATCGTGAGATTTAACAGCGAATCGATGATTTCTCGCACTGATTTCTTTTTCTCCCTTTCCATATTTGCTTTTGGTTAGGAGGATTTTTACGGGATGGGGTTAGGTACGTATCATAAAAAAAAGGAATAGGGAAGAGAAAAAAAAAAAGAGGGGGGGTGGGGCTCTGGGAGATATGATACCGGTATGATATTCGATTTGGAGGTTCTCGCAGCGCAGTCGATGGGGGTACCGTACTCGAGCACTGCGCTCCCACGGCAACTAGATTAACCACCGCAAGAGTCACTTGTTGGTAAGTTTTGGTCCCTGCCAAGGTATCTTGTGCCCATGCTTTGCCTGCCTGCCTGTCAGTCGAGCGGAAAATGTTTAATTGGGGGAAAAACGGGGTTTTTAGAGAGAGGGAGATGGTTCGGTATGGGAGGTACGCTGGAAAGCGAATGAGGAGCGGCGAGGTTCACTAGGGTGCCCGTAGACTCCATACTTATCGCACCCTCTCTAATCAGCCACAGTGGCGGTGTAAAATCACGCTCCCACTCGCTCTCCCTCTGCCGCTGCTCGAGTACTCGTACCGGTATGGTACTCGCACTCTTTCTCTGAGGGAGGGAAGAAAGAAAGAGCCACCCATGTGCAAGGGGTATGACGTCGTGAAGGAAGGAAGGAAGGAAGGGAGGGAGGAAGACATCCACCCGCGACCACGGCATCTCTTCCTTGCGCTTTGGTTGCTCGTTGGCCTGATTTTGATCGATTCGGCAGCCTACCGGTAGGCTTGGTGGGGTAGCTTCCGGTACGATACGGTAGCATACGGTACCAAGTGTTGACAGATCTCACGGCCACCGTAGAATACAGCACCCCCTTCTCTACTCTCTTCCATTCTCACCTTTCCACACACAACGAACGTGTGGGTAGTGGAATCCATTTTCGGATAGTCGATCACGAAATTGCCAGTCCGCGATTGTCTGCGGAAAATGCGATCCCTTGGTGGAATCGTGCTCCTGTGGAGAGCCACTTGGGGCAGCACTGGGACAGAGGACCAATCTTGCGTGTGGGGCGCCTTACAAGTGAAAGGGCGTTGAATTTTTGATTTATCATACCAGTCATTTCATCTTTTTACGAGAAAGAAAGAAGGAAGTCTGTCTTTTCCTCTCCTCCAGTCGCGTGTGGTGTGGGAAGAAGAGGGGGAGAAAAAAGGATATGTGACAGAGAGAAGAAGGCAGCAAAACAGAGTGAGCGAGCGACAAATGAGTGATGGGCGGAAGTTTGGACAGCCAAGCCAGCGTTCGTTGCGATAAGGTGGGTTAAAGTGTGGCTGTTGGGGCAAGGGAGAGCCTGTGCGTCCGAAAAGGGCTGTCCGGGACGGGAAGGATGGATTGGTAACACATCTGGGTCGTGCTGGTCACCCTTTTCCACTTTTCCCTTGTGGCTCATTGATATGGATTGGGGGGGGGGAGGGAGGGCTGGCTGGCTGAATGAAGGGGTGTGAGTGATGGGCAAAGGGAGGGAAGGAGGGAGGGCAGGAAGGGTGCAACGCATGTGTCGCCCACTGACCGCGAGGGGGAAGGGAGGACTTTTTTACCCTGGGTGTACGGTAAATGGGGTGCGGTTGTGTGGCATGGCCATGGGCATTCTATGTGTTCTTCCCCTCGGAATATGGGATTCACGACGTTGAGTCGTCGACATGGCTAGAGGAAGGGAAGAAAAGAAAAGGAAAAAAGAGAGAAAAAGGAAAAAGGAAAAGGAAAAAGGAAAAGGAAAAAAGAGGGAAAAGCAGGGGTGGTGCCGTAGGATTTGTGGTGGGAAGACTGAGAGGCGTGAGGGGGAGGGAGGGTATGATGTTGGGTGAACGGAGCAGGGATAATGATATGGAGAAGTCCCGTCCGCTGTTACTGATCTGTTACGCGTTTGGCATTTCGCCTGCTCTTGCTCTCTGGTACTTTTTTCTTTCTTTTTCTCTCCTCCATTTGGGAGGGTGGGACTTTTGGGATTTTCATCTACTCGTGCATATCGTTTTTTTTTCTTCTTCCTCTTCCCCATCGAACTAGGGCTCGGGCTCTGAACTGCAGATGAACTACGAACCTATCGCACTGTTTATCGTTTCCACTTCCTATTGCTACCATTGCTGTATGATACCTATTTTAGCACGCCATACGAGAGAAATATTAGAGCTGGTTAGCCAACCGGTACCTCAGTGAAGGATGTTTGGTACCTACCTGCCTTCGTCCCGGCCCTGTATCATACGGTATCTCGCACGCAAGGAAATGCTTGGCTATTAAATTGGGGCACATATCGAACCACCAGTACAAGTACCTTTCTGGCCGAAAGCAGATTAGGTCGTGTATCCAGAGAAACCAAGGTGTTGAATTCGGTAGAAAGGACGAATGAGGAAGCAGCGATACTAAATCCGGTATCGAACGGAGGCAGGGTAGGGCGTATGATATTCGAAATTCCGTGAAGACGCCCTACCTCACATCCTCCCTATGAAGCCTGTGAGTTCTCAGAAAAGTGCCAAAAAAAAAAAAGATGAGCAAAGACTTTTAGTTTTTTTTTTTTTTTTGCTACTATGCTTGGGGCTACCGTGCGTGCGTACGGAATATCCGTCCTGCGGTCCCTCTCTCCCTCTCATTGTCCCCCCCCCCTTCCCTTCCCTCCCCTTCGACCCCCCCTCATCCTCTTATTCATTCTACCGCTACCAAATTCATACCATCCCCAAACACCAATGCCATCCCCGTGCTCCCCTGTTGCCTGCCTGCCTTTGCTGCTCGTCTTTACCAACCAGTCCAACCCCCCCTCTAGCTAGAGTATTATGTACGGTACGGTACCTCCCTCCTCCGCCGCCCCCCCTCAGTCTCTGCTACCACCCCCGCTAGTACCATCCACATCTACGTTCCTCGGTCACCACTTTGTTCCGCGGCGAGGACATAAAACGAAGGGTGCCACCCACACCTAAGACTACGGTAGGCGTCACCGATTGTTTTGCATTTGTCACTTGTAGAAGGATCAGCACCTCTCCTCCGGTTCCCTTCTCCACCCCAACAAACATTTAACTATCTACACTCTCCCTCATTCTTGCCTACATTGACAGCCTCGTCGCCTTAACTCTGCAATCACCATTCACTCGGCTCACCATCATCACCACCATCATCATCATCATCATCCTCATCATCATCGAACAACGTCAGCGTCATTGCTACTTGTGTACTTGTCTCTCCCGCTGCCATTCTCAGGTTTCGTCTGAATAAAGGAAGCTCTCCTTCCTTCTCTCCTTCTCTCCCTCGTCCCCCCCCTACTTTCTCTCCCTCTCTATTTCACTCCCCCCCTTCAGTACCTTTTTGCCCGGCCAAGTTTGTTCCGAGTGCCATCCAAGAACCTACACAATATATTCACCGCTTTTCCACCTCCCCCGCATCGTCAAACTCGTGCGAATTAGCAGCCCGATAAACAAAGGTCCTAGATAAGCAGCAGGAGAGCAAGCAAGCAGAAGAACAGGAAGGCAACCTCTTATCAAAATGAATAACCATTGGACCATATCCACATCTTCGGGGCGACGAGTTTCGCTCCTTTGCGAGGAGGAGGCCGCATCCGATTATGCATATTCCTACGCTTCCTCGTCATCATCCCCAACACCACCCCTCTCCCCGGATTACCGTCACAGGCCCTACAGCATTCGCCATGACTCGATCGAATCGGCCTCATCTTCGTCCAGTTCGTTGGGATCCAATATGTACTCCCCGCGAACGCCCCCAAACCTAAGCCTGCCACCCTTCGAGAAGCTCCTCCCCGTCCCCGAAGCCTCGTACTTCCCCCAAATGCCCTCATCCTCCGTAACTTCCTCGCCAATACCCAGTCCGCCAATCATGATGACGGCAACATCAGAAGAGCTATCGCCAACGAGTTCGCAAGCGCCAATCTCCTCCGCGCCGCCATCGCCAAAGACGGCGAGCGCAGCCAACGCGTCGCTCAAGAGGAGCTCACGCAGATACACATGTCAGTGCGGAAAGTCGTTCACCACGTCCGGACACCTAGCGCGACACACGAGAATCCACACGGGGGAGAAGAATTACGTTTGCCCGGAGACTGGGTGCGGGGCCAGGTTCAGCAGGCAGGACAATTGCATGCAGCACTACCGCACGCACCAGAGCGGGTCGGGGAGCAAGAGGGCTGCCAGGAAGCGGAGGATGTCGGCTGAGTCTACGGAGGCCGTTGTCAACAAGCCGGATATGCACCCGCGAATGCACTCGTATCACACTCCGCAACCGGTTTCCTACAGCCATTATCCAGAAACCTTTGATGGGGGGCTCACGGCTCTGGCGAACGCTGCTATATCGGGGTATCCCTGAAGAGCTTTATCTTTTTCCTTTTTCTTTCTTTTTTCTTCCTTTCCATCATTCCTCTTCCTCTAATCAAAACAAAGGTGGTTTCCTATCTTCGCTTCCTTGGTCCACTCTATTCTCCATTCGGCGCATGGTCACCGGGATCTATTCGCTTCATTAATTGATCTTCCCCTCCCCCCCCTCCCTTTTCCCTCTATCCTTCCTTCACCTCATCCGGTTGCTCTTTTCCCCTTTTGCCCTTTTATCCTGCTCCCCTTCGCCTGTAATATTCCTCCTCCACCTGCCCATGCACCTTTTTTGGACCCCCCCCTAAGCAAAGTATATCCTCTTACCACCTCCTCTACCACCCAATTTCTCTCCTCAAACCTCCGGGGAGGCGTGGAGGGGGGGGGGGGGGATGAAAAATAATAAAAAAACAGAGGACGGAGATTGGAAAGAAAAGAAAAAAAGTGAGAGAAGGGAAGGAACTCTGCTCGATTTGTGGTTTACTTCCCTACTGTACAAGTAACGAAAAAAAGGTTTCTCGTCTTGGGTTTTTCTGTTCCATTTGGGACTGGGGCTTTCTTTTCTTTTCTAACTTTCCAACGGTTTTCGGACGGTGTGGGTTATTTGCTTTCTAATGGGTTTCTTTGGGCAGGGTTTTTTTTTACCTTACTGGATCGCATTGGGTGGCTACGGCGTATGGTGTCTTTTGTTTTCTTTTTCGTTTCATCATCCCTTCTCTCCCTACGGTACTCTTCCCTCTTTCATTCCTGTCTGGTTTGTTTGTTTGTTTGTTTGTTTACGCCCCATCTCATCATCAGCATCAGCATCATCATCATCACCATCACATCAAACACAACCCGACCCCCATCCTTGCAGCACCGGTATTTCCATGCCCACCTGGGCTTTTGTGGGGGCCATCTCTTTTGTACTTTTAGGTTTTGGATCCCGGGTTAAGGTTGGGTTTAGGGGGGGTTTCTTCTCGTTATTTCCCCGTTTGCTTGTTTATTCTATGGTACTTTTGCACTCTATTCAAAATTAAAAAGGGAGAGAAAGTTGAAAAGAAAGCAAAATTTGGTCGAATTGTGAATTTATTGGTTGATTGATCGATTGATTGGTGAAGCTGTTACTGGGTTGAGTCGAAGGAACCATCTCCGGTTGCATCAAGCTATAAAGACAAAAACGTTCAGGGGGGAGGGAAAGCTACTATCATACTGCTTGGTTCGGGTACAGTACTGAGCATCAACCAGCGCTCCTCCTATCATTGCGTGCTCACACCCCTGGCTGACCTAGCAGATATCATATAAATGGAAGGAATTGAGCAGAAAACAAATATAAATACAAAAAGAAACAACCTCCTTACCCCCGGTATCCCCCTTCCCTCCTCCTTTCCTTCATCACCGCACTTCACTCCTTCAGCTCCTCCTTTAATAACGACAAGATAAGATACACAGGTGAAAGGTGAAGAAGAAGGTGGAGGAAATGAAAAGGATGTGTTTTTTTAAAAATAAAAAATAAAAAAATAAAAAGCGCGGACTATCTTCCTGCGGATCGGCGACACGCATTTTGCGGGGAAACCATATCGACGGGATGGATGGGTGGGTGGATGTATGGATGGCAAGCGACGCTTGCCTACTCTTGTCCTATCATGCCTTGCCAGTGTTGGAAAAAGGGTCCGAGGGTTGGATTCCGGATTGAAAATCCGCTGTTGGGCTCCATGTTCCTTTTTTTTCTTTTCTTTTTTCCATTATTATTTTTTTTGTTCCCCTTCTTCCTTTAGTTGCGGTTCGTTGAAGTGTGTGATTTGTCAGTAGGGTGTTTGGGGAGTGACGTTATTGGGTGTAAGGGCATTGGTTTGGGGATGGATGGATGGGGGGATGAGTGATCGTCGGCACGGTGGATTCAACTGGACTAATTTAACTACCGTACCGTGCGAGTAAGGTGAGTTGTGTAGGGGTATGATGCTTGATAGTGTGCATGCCCGCGTTTAGCAGAGCGAGATATTGCGGTGAAATGGGGTATGGTGCGGCTTCCACAATGGTTCGCGTTATACTCGAGTAGATGGGATGGGCATGACACTTGTTCGTTGTTTTGCCAGATTAGCGGGGAGGGATTGAGGGATTGAGAGACTGAGAGGAGAGGTGGCAAGAGAGGGGTTTACTTGGATATGATGTTCCTTCAGGTAACAGTTTTAGAAGCACCTCCCTTATCTGGTCCACGCCTATCTAGAGTTGAGAAGGAGCGTGAGAAGGTTTTCACGGTAAGGTACCGATGGTACCTCGATCGACAAAAAGTCATTGTGTGTGTGGATGTTGCGATGGGGTGAGGTAAGGCGGTGGTGCATCATATAATCTTAACTCGACACTCCGTAGTCCCAGGGTCCGGTGCGTGCTGCGCGGTGCCGTACTCGAGGACTCGAGTATTTAGCGGCATTCCGAACTCTGGATCGGGCCAGATATCCCATCGCGTTGATCCACCTCCTGCTCCCTTCAGGGTCCTCGGCCGCCCGGCGCGAGTTCTGGTCGATACAAGTGGAAACGATGTGAAGGTTCGTGTTGAACTAGCTTGGCTAGCACGGGTATCAGAATCGTCCAACCTTCATGCGTGGCCAAAAATGGTTCTCCGCGCGCGCGGCTGCTGGTCCGCCCGCGGGGGCGGGCATTTGAGCTGGAAATTACCGCACAAAGGTGTGCTGCTTCGGCTTGGGCGCACCAGCAGGGCCGTCCCCAGCGCCGTACCGGCAATGGTCTAATCGCTCTGCATCCGTCCCCCCACCGCAGGAGAGCACTCGTACCCGTACTGCACGGGTACCAACCCAGCGGAGTATTACCGGCACAGCACTCGCACCCCCAACCCAATCAGCACCCTGCCCCAACGTTCCTGACCATCATCAGCCCCATGCCCTCTTCAAGGGTTGGATCAACAGCACGATACCCCATCATACCCCAACACTCCGACATGCTCGCGCGGTACGGGTATGATACGGTATCATAGCTTTCCCAATAATCCCAGCCCGCCCAGACAAGCCTAGTCTGGCCGTGACGTCGACCTGTCGTCAGCGAAGAGCAAAAGAAATTATCCGCACACACACCCTCTCCCTCCCTGCCGCTCCTCCTTCCTCCTCGCTGGGCTGCCGGTACGTTGGCTGGTTGCCTGTCTGCCTGAATAACTTTTTCTCCCTAACCGACCGTTACCCTGCTCTACACCAACATGCCGGCGCATTACCCCTTACCCTACCCTCCCCGCTACGCCCACCGATTGGTCCGAGCCCGGCGCACTCTCGCTTGCTCGCTTCCCTTCACTCTACGCATGTCGGAACCAGGGTTCTGTCAACACGTCCTGCATGCTTAGATGGGAATTTATCGAAATCGGCCCTAGAGTGGCGGATCGTGGGAATTAAAGTTATTCCTTTGATCTCTTCTCCCCCCTGTTTTCCTTAACCTCGTGATCTTGGGATCTGGAGTGCGTATGCGCCGTACTCGTACGGTACACGTGTAGGGAGCGGGGTTTTTCTTTCCCCGGGGTTCTCGTTCTCCTGCAATTTTTTCCCCTCTTTCCACAGCAGGGAGGGGTGGCCAGCGCCGGTAATCGCCAGATGTCGTCAAAACCAACAAAGACATTATACCGAAGATCCGAACTGAGATATGGTGCCAGGGCGTCCGACCCCACCATACCCTGCCCCGCCTTAGGGCCATTCGCAGCCCGCGGATTTCTCCGTTAAAAGAGGCCTGCACCGCGCAGAATTCGCGGTCCAGCGGCTCACAATTTGCAGTGCTGCTAATCCCCCCGCGAGTACCGATGCTGTACCGTACAGGTGCCGTATTGCACTATTTCCTCGAAAGCAGAAGGTCGGGTGGTTTACGTGCCGTACCGTGCCGACGCATCAGAGCCTACCGTATTATTATTAGATAGGCAAGCTAATAGGGTGCCGGGCGGGAAAGGGTGCCGGGCGGGATAGGGTGCCGTGCAGGATGGGGTACAGTACTCGAGTATCCAGCGGGATAGGATAGCTACGGTATGCGAACGAGCCGGGCTTTTCATTCAGGCAAAGTATGGTTTTGGCGTCCAAGAACCCGGCCCGAGTACCACGTCGAACCAAGAACGCTAGTCCTCATGTGGCCACGAACTATACCCAACTAGAAGGTCTCCTAGCTAACTATCCTGCAGAATCCCTTTTTTCCTCATACCGTACTCGTACAGTACAAGTCTCATCGTTTCCCTTCCAAATACAGCTTTGGAGGTCTCTCTACTCGAGTAACGGCCCTGACAGAAGACTAAAAAAAGAAAGCCCTTCGCAAACGCATTCCAATAACCGATCAGGAAAGATTTACAGAAGGAATCCTAAAGATTCTATTTGCAGGTGTTGTTGTCGCAAGTCGAGATATCCGTCAGCGTTTAGTAAAAAAAAAAAAAATTCCCTCGTAAACTAACAAGAAGGGAACCGCAGATCCGTCGTACAGCCCCTACGGTGTCACGTCCAGGGGGTTAGCCAAGGGTAGGTTCCGAAATCCCTTCCGGAGTGGCGTGGGTGCTCGCTACCGCATCCTACCCCGCACCCTACGGTATTACTCGAGTACCGTAAGCACTGGTACCGGTAGTCCATCACCGGTATGATAGGAGTAACGAGATGTCCCATTAGAGAATTTCTGGAGTCCCACTTGGGATGTGAACAGGAAATTTTTAAGTTAGCCAAGATAGCGGAACCATTCCCTTAGAGGTATAGCCTGGAGAGCTGGGCTGTTCGGATTCCTGTTTTTCTCCCCCGAGGGCAAAATCCTCTGAGAACACAGACCCATTTTTGAGTAGATATTCCTTAAATGGAGTAGCTCCTGGGCGGTGCTGAACCTGAAAAGATTTTCCGTTCACAACCCAAACGGGACTCCAGAAAAACTCTAATTTATTACACTACCGGACCGTATGATACGATACCAGTACGAGTATTCCAGCGTTGGATATAAAAGAGTTGTACCGGTAAACGCCGTGTCTCTCTCCCACGTTCCCGACACTCCGCAGCACAATACGAGTACATCGAACTACCGGTATAGTCCATCTTGGCTTTAGAGCTAGCTTGCGGCCATTATTTGATAAGTAAGCTGGGGAGCAATATCTTATCGACAGGCTTGCTACGATGCTGACGGCCACGGCACGACCTGTACTATTCCAGGGGAGAAAAGGGAGAGCGAATTAAAGCCACATTCAGGGCCCAGGAAAAATAGCGGTAAGGGGGTGGAAACCTTTTTCCTGGGACTTCTCTTCTTTCTTTCTATGGTGGAGTGGTCTCGTGACGTCTTCCTGGAAATGGTGATGATTAATCTTAGCTGTGACATGGACTGTGCTTCCGGGCGTGTCATGAGTGTCTCGATTTTATATTTATTTACACAAGGGCCCTCTACCGGTATCC